AAAAAAAAAAAAAAAAGAAAAGAAAAGGGAAAAAAGAAAAAAAATAAATGGAAATTTTACCAGGCATATTAATTGTATGTGGTCCTACACTAGGCAAGTCTGTATTTGTTCTAAGATCAATTGCTTCGTCTAGAACTCGAATGTCAGAATCATCAGAACTAGTGCTAGTACTGCTAGATGTAGGTGATAAAATATTTGATACATATTCATTTGACAATCCTATAATGGATATCAATAATTTTAGAAAAAAAAGATATTAAGTATTGTGTAATGACATACAAGTAATATGAATTGTATCATATACCTTGTGGTAAATAAGTTACAGATTGATCATAGCCAATTAAATCAAAATTTGTTCGGGCATAATTAAGTAATTCATGTACAAAATGGTCCGTATATGCGGCAAAATGAGGCCGTACTAATTCTCGAAATTCTGGGCTTCTGATATCATATTGACAAAGAGCATCCAATATAACTCTTAATACATACGCAACATGTGAAGCATTGTTATTAAGTAATACTTGTAATTCTCTATTTAACCATGGTATAAGTCGATTTAATTCTCTCGGCTCTCTCCTGCAGATAAAATAAGCTATGAATATTGACTTGTTTAATCAAGTTTATAATAATCCGCAAATTAATAATGTATAAACAACAATTTACCGATAAAAATCGGCACTACATTCACGAAAACGACCAAATACATCTGGCAATGCAGTAGCCCAAATTCCATGCCTGTAAATTGTACGACGATAATCGGTTGGATTTACACGTCTACGTATGCGCTCTCCTATTGGAACTTGTGGTGCTATACTTGGCAACTGTTCTCTTCTTGCAACTTGTTCTGGATTAAGAACTATCTCATGAGGACGTCTGTGATGTCCTGTCATTGTTGTCCTGTAATGATTAAATTTATTTGCTTCTGAAGTTATTAGACATTTAATATTAAACATTAATCTAAGATTAAGGTTATGATACCTATAATGGAAACGATGTGTACCAGTATCCATGTGACCCAATTCAAAAAGGTCAAAAGTAGCCAATTCTCTAGGTACATGATACTGATCATAATCCTCTTCCGATCTAACATTGTGTATGATCGATTTAAATGTTTGTTTACACAATGGACATTCCGTTTTTATTTTCGACCATTGAAGCAAACATGTGAAACAAAATTGATGAAGGCAACTATCAGTGAATGAGGTATTCACTAATTTGCCTAAACAAATGCTACAATTTGGTGGAGGTGACACTGCACCATCGCTCCGATCGCTGCTATCTGGATTTTGTACAGGTGCCTCTGATTTAATAGATTCCTCTACACCTGTGGTAGAATCTTTTACTTCTAGTGGGCCTTCCATTATAGATTAATATATTTGTCCATTTATTAAAAGGAACTGTCCTGAAATATATTAAATCACATAATTTAACAAAGTTCAACAAAATTGTACTTGTACAAAAATCAATACTTGTACAAAATTTTACATTATTTTAATAGATAATATGTATTAATTAAATGTACGCATCATGAAATAAAATTTGTAAATGTTAATTTTATTAATAATATTATATAATTATCAATTAATCTAGAAATTTTAGGAACGACATCAGTGTTTTTATTAAAGTGTTATTGTTAAATCTCAGAAAGATTCACTAAATAGAATAGTTGTTTGGAATATTCGTATAAATAATTTTATCCTACGGTACAAAAATTTAATAATTAACGTACATAAACACTATTACGTCAATGTTTGTTCGTTAAAAAATATCAAGACA